GGAAAAAAGGAGCAGAAATAACAGATTATACAGAAATAATGAGTATGAGTATAAGAGTCGTATAACCGGCCCCCACAACCCTCATCACTCCCGGACTGTACCCTATTTAGGGCTCGCGAGCGAAATGCGATTAGTTTGAATAGCCTCTCCCGGATTCGCCGGGCCGTTGCTATACGCCCAGTAGAATCATGAAGGAGGTAGGACGGGAGGATAGACATTTTGGTGTTTAGGGAACAATTACGCCCACTCAAGTCTGTGTACGACGTGGGATCTCTCCGGCAAATTAGTATTACTCCAAACATTTGGGATCACTGTTTGAAGTTGGGGAGTTGTTAGTTCGCTTTTTTTGTTACGGTCAAGTATTACCGTGGCGGTGTTTTTCGAGGGCGTCGAAATTTGTCATTTTTATGTCTTTATTCCTTCTTGTGAGGACCCCCCTTCGAGTCATTTTGTTCTTTCCCCCGCTCAGATACCAGTTGTACCGTATTGTGGTAGCGTGTCCCGATTTCATGTACGTTTCTTGTAGCGCTATGATATCCATGTTGTAATGGTCTAGTATGTTGTCTATTGGGTCCCTTTTTTCCTACGTTCTACACACGCGTACATTTAGTGTGCCTATTAAGTACTTGTCGAGGTGCGTGTATATCTATAATTCTGCCCATTCGTTGTTTGTTGATTGCGTTGTAGTGTATTTTTACCATTACCGATTGCTCTAGTGTTTACGTTTGTGCCGATCGTGGTAGGACTGTTCCTGGGTGCCAGTCGCTGTTTTGGCCATACCTAAGATGCTGTCGGCAGAGTTGCAAATAATGCATTAAGATTTAAATACTCATTATTAAAATAATGAGGAACGAGTTTAATTTTCATTATGCATTACTTCTTTTTTAATGAAAATTAAAATAATTTTCATTATATTTTTTCCAATGAGTATGAGTTACATTACTCATTTTTAATTTGTAATAAGTATTTTGAGACTTTCAATTAAAATTGTTTATGTATGAGTAATGTACTCACTTTACATTACTTATTTTTTAATTTTTAGTCATTTTTTGTGGGCAAGGAAGATATTTTTATTGCATGACACAGTTTTTTAATTTTTGCAGGGTTTGCAATATAAGGGTAATTGATCTTTTACAAAAACCATGGACTTTGTGTGCGGATATAGTTTATTTTTTAAAAGTAATCAATTTCATTAGAAAACATTGTTTATTTTTTATTTTAATAGTCACCTTTATTGAAGGAAAAGGTTAAATTTTATGAAAATTACTAATCTTATCAGAGAAAATTATTTATATCTATAAAAACCAAAAACATACTTGGTTTAATTATATTGATGTATCAAGAAAATGTTTACGAAGACCGAAATCATAGAGAATAAAGAAAATTATTTTCCTATAAACAAATTTTTCTGAGACAATTTTTTCTTTTTCTAATATTTCCTCAATTCAACTCAATTTTTTTATGATCTGATCTTCAAAGAAGTTTTTAATTATGCTAATAAAAATTATATATTACGCTTATATTATGTAATCACTAAAAAATAAAGAATTATTTGCTTTGTAATTAATTACAATCAACCCCTGATCATTTTACACTAATGTAATGTCTTTCGTTACACATTTTTTTTTAATGTGTAATGTACGGTCTCTCACTAATCATTTTTTATTTTTTAATGAGTAATGTATTTTTCGACATTACTCATAAATTTTAAAATGAGTACCTACCTTATGAAAATATTTGTCAATATATTTTTTTTAATAAATAATGTATTTAAACTACATTGCAGTACCACTTGAGGCATCGTAGAGAGAGGACGCTCGCGCGTTCTCTTCTCATAAGTAAAGCGCACCCAGCCTATTTAAGCTTATTAGGCAACTTAAGTGCGAAATCAGACCCTAGGGCCACTCAGTGCCGTCGCCGCTAAAGTTCAAGTAACAAAAAGGAATCAATGTCGATTCTGCACGCGATAACGGATCCAAGTGCTAAAAGAAAAGAAATAATACTAAGTTCGAAAAGTGCGGGTCCCCGGCTAATCACAAGTGCTGTAGCGTCGTGGAGATTTGTGTGAGAGTGAGTGAATAAGGTTGGGTCACTCCGATCACCTGTAGGGTCATCACAATCGGCAGGGCCAAGGAGCGCGGTCTGTCCGCTAGGGATAGGAAGGCAGAATCTAACTAGTTCAGCTAAGTAATTTTCCTAATTGCATGACCTAACAACAGTACCAATTCGATTCTGATATAATTTTATCGTTAAATGTTTATATTCGCAAATCGCGAGGTTGCCAAGAATATCATCTGGCTTCAGAAATTTAACAGGTCCCTACACTGAGAAAATTGATCTATTTTAAGTTTTAATTAAATGAACAGTTTTGGTTCATTCAATACGCGCAATGCGCATAACTGTTTATTTAAAAGTCGATGATACCTACAGTCTTTAAATTAAACTCGTACAGTTTAAATATACATTTTTACTACTAGAAAAATAAACAAAGAAATTCTTGGAAAGAATTCAATAAAGCGTTACAGACAGTAAATTATGAAAAAATCTCTAACATAAGCACTCTGAATGTTTGTCTAAGATTTCTTTTTAATGGTCTCAAAAATTAAATTTTAAAATAAAAACATTTCCGTAAGTTAATAACAACCTCATTTTCTCAGAGTAAACAAATCATAAACAGCTTAGCCAATTGAAAGGGGCCTAAGAGTAAATAAACCAAATCAAGCAAGATGACAAAAAATTAGATCATAATTAAGTGTTGTGTGTTAATATTTAATATTGTATGCATTTAAGACTAGCCAAATAAGCATAAGCTCAGGAATGCAAGAACACAGAAGAAGAGCAACCCTCTCAATCCAGGCCATATGGCCGCATTCAAATTGCGTATACCACAGGGCCGGCTTTATCTATTTTGTATATTAATATTTATATTTTAAAATTAAATTTGGAAAAAAAAGTAAGAATGCAAATAAAATAAATTAAATGAAATCGGTATAAACACTAATTTAACAATAAAATAAATAAAGAATATACAAGGTTGGTATTAAAGCATACGTTACACGCCTGACATTGGGGCCGTATTTCAAATTTTAATACGATACACCACAGGGCCGGCTTTATCTATTTTGTATATTAATTTATTTTTAAATTAAATTTGAAAAAAAAAGTAAGAAGCAAAGATACAAAATAAATAATAATAAACGGTATAAACACTAATTTAACAACAAAATAAATAGTACACCAACAAGGACAGGTTCTAGCAGAGTACTAACACCCCGGCTCAAAAAATACAAGAACAGCACAGAAGAAAAGAAGAAGACCATGCAGACCATATGGTGGCATTCCACCACATACACTACAGGGCCGGCTTTATCTATTTTGTATATTAATATTTATATTTTTAAATTAAATTTAGAAAAAAAGTAAGAATGCAAAGATATAAATTAAATGAAAACGGTATAAACACTAATTTAGCAATAAAATAAATAAAGAATATACAAGGTTGGTAGCCGGAGTAAGCAAAGAACTAACATACCCACCCCCATTCACGAATACCAATTGAATGGGGTTAGTACTAAGGCCTAGGTTGAGGAGGATTCCGGATTGTACTTAGTTTTGGGTCAGTTCAATGTCCTCCAAAAACCTTTCCTAAACGTATGGCCCGACCCGGCTGATAAAAATCCGGGAGCGGCCTTAACCTTTGACACTGTCATCTACGACCTCCAACAAACACAGGTAATGCTGTGATTTGGCGGGATACGCAGGAGAACGGAAAGGGGATAAAATAACCCCGGGAGATTAGAGGTTGATAATATATCTGGGCCCATTATTACATTAACATTTTTGCAACTATGGTTATAGGTACCGCCCTCGGTTGTTAGCACTACGGACTACAAGCCGAGAAATCGTGGGTTCGAATCCCACCAGGGGTATGGCTGTTTATTTGTGTGTGTCAGTGTGTACTCCTGTAATTGGGCCTGGTGCCTGTTGGAAGCACATTAAAATAATAATAAAAATATAAAAAATGTACCAAGTCTGTAGCTTATTGCTATTGTAGGGAAATTGTCGTTCTCTCTGGCGGAGATCTTGTCTTTCCCGCCCTGTTCGTGGTATATTTCGATTGCAATATTGAATACGTCTGAGTATTGTTTCCACTCCTACCCAAAAGCCTTTGTTGCCGAGGTCGTTTAAGTACGATGTCCGATTTTGTCAGTTATGTGTTCTTAACGACTGTTTAATTCGTTTATTGCGTCTTCGACGTATGTTTCTAGGTTATTGCGTATGTGTTTGTTTAGTTTTCGTCTTGTCTCAGCCGTTGTTTCTATTCGTGTTGCGATCCTATCCGTGTTGAACAGTTGCAATTGATGCGATTAGGCAGTTACCGGAGGGAGGTATTTTTTTGACTTCTACTGTGTGTTTACCAAATCCATTGGAACTCGGTTTGTGTTTTTTTGTGTTTAGGTTTTCTTAATTTATTGTATGTTCGTTTAGATTTTTTAAGTTTCAAATGTCTACTTTAATTTGTTGGGGCCGTTCTCTTAAATTAATGGGTTTTAGTGACTTACTCGTTTGTTAGTGTATGATGTATTGTCCTACTCAGCTTTCCCGTGAATGACCGAGGTAAGAGTTGGGGCTTTGTTTTGTTTTTTGTTGTTTTGTTACTATTGTCTTACTAATGTTACTGTTGCACTTTCTTATTTTTTTACCAGTGTTTAAGCGAAAAGTGCCTTTCTTAGAGTTGTAAAGGTACCTGTCGTGGTTATTATTGCAAATTATGTATTGGGTCATGCAGTTGGCTAAGATTACTTATTGGATTTTGCAGATGGCCCTTTCTTCTCTTGGTTGGCCTCTTTTGTTTGTCTCGTGAAGAGCATCAAATTGACAACTGGTTAGACCGCCCGGTAAGCTGTTATTTCTCACTTTAACACTTCCTTGACCGTAGGGTGGTCTTTAATCACTATAGATCTTACACTATAGTTTATTTGCACTTTATGAGTAATTATTTCTGGGTTTTGGTTTGTGTGTTTTAATCGAGGTTTCGATACGATACGATACGGCTTACTTCGTCAAGTGTTCGAACGTGACTGACACTGATACAGAAATATTGACCAACAAAAATTAAAATTAATAAGAGAAGGAAAAAAAAGAACAAACATTAAGGATAGATAATTGGAATATACGAACGATGTTAATACCAGAAAAAATGGAGTAGGTAGCGACGTAAATGAGAAGATATGGATTAGAAACTACAAGAGATTAGGTGGAAAAGGAAGGGAGAATAAACAAAAAGAAGAATATACAGTATATTATGGAGGAGAAATAAAGCAAGGAAGGAATGACATACCATTTATGGTTAGTAAAAAAACAGCGACGTCATAGAATATAAATTATATGGGGGAAGAGTAAGCTACTAATAATAAAAGGCATAAATGCGAACATGGCAATAATAAATAATGCACCAACTAAGGACTAATATAGTAATGAAGAAAAACAAATATTTTATGAGACAATAGAAAACGCGCATGCAAAAATACCCAAACATGACTCTTATCATATTGGGAGATTTTAATGCTAAAATAGTAAATAATGTAGCGGAAAAAAACACAATACACGAAGAATCAAATGATAATAAAACAAGATTATGTAACCTGGAGAGAAATATCTTAATCGCAAGCACAAAATTCAAGCATAAAAAAGAGCCTAAAGTAACATGGCTACGACCAGAAATGAATAACGAAAATCAGATTGATCACAGAGAGGAGCAAACGTAGATACTAAACACATTCTTCTGGTAGCATCCATAAGAAGCAACCAATGAATCGGAGGAAAATACGTGTGCGGAAAAAAAAGTGGAACCTGGAAAACATAAAGCTTAAGAAAGAAGAATATTATTTGTAGTTTAAGAGATTAGAAGAGGTACACGGCAGCATAAGTATGTATCAGAAATATGAGGGCATAGAACCGGAAATAAGAGGGGCAGCAGAAAAGGTTATCGGAGTTGGAAAAATAGCAAATCGTAATGGATGGTTTGATATAAAGTGTGAAAATGTAATTAAAAAAAGATACAAGACTAGATTGGCTAAGGGCAGGAGAGGAATAAGATCAAGAAACATATACAAAGGCGAGAAAAGAAGGAACAAAAATATAAAAAACATGGAATGGATATATTAAATTTTGACAGGAATAGAAAACAGTAAAAAATAGTAGAAAATTATTTGCAAGTATAAAAAACCAAAGAAAAAACGCAAAACAACAAAAATTGTTAAAAAACTTACTATCGGGAAAGCGAGAGGAAGACCATAATATGGAAGAGTGTTATCTTGGTGAGACAAATGAACAAAACATGGACGAAATTAAAGAAACCCCAACCTATGAAGAAGTAAAAGAAGAGGTCAGTAAGCTAAAAGGCAAAAAAGCGGCAGTACCAGATGAAATATGTGGTGAAATGGGAAAAGCAGACTTAATAGAACACCTACTTAGACTGATTATTTATATATGAAAGGAAATAGAAGACTAATTTGGATTTATACGAGGAAAATGTACTATAGACCCAATTTATACTATGACGCAAATATTAAAGAATGCCCACGAACATAAAATGGGCCTCGGTTATTTATAGACTTCAAACAAGTCTTTGATAACATTTGCCGCAAAGCTTTAAAAGAAGAGTGTACGCAGGGCCGGGCCTAAGGGGGGTAGGGGGGAGTCACCCCCTCAAAGTCTAGGCAGTTGGTTCCAAATCCAAACACGGTTGGCAAAATCTATAGTATTTGGGTCGGTTGGTTGGGTATACGGTATACCGTATACCTATCCTACCAACCAACCCATCACAATAAAATTTATAAAATAAAATATAATTTTTTAAACTACATATTCAGGGCCGGCGTTAGCTTATTAGAGGCCAGGTGCAAAAGAAAAATGCGGGGCTTGAAATAAAAATTTACTCTTGAAAATTAACATAGCGCTTAGCGGCAATAAACCAATAAAACATCAAACGAAAAACCAATTGAAGGGATTAGAGCTGAAACCGCCCAAGTGCATTTTTAAGTCAAAATAAACTTCGGTGGTTCAGCTTTTCCCTTCAATTAATATAGAAATTAACGTTTAAGAAAAAATCACACATAATTTTTCCCTGCTTTAGCGGAAGCTCTTTTCCAACGTCCTTCTCTATTGACAATATAGCCAAACCCACTAGTCGTTCTTGGCACATACCTTCTTGTTCTTAAATATTTTTTTATTTTGAAAAACTCTTTTGTCGGCGTAATAATAATTGTTTTAAACGGATACAGGAAACTTCAAATACACATTTTGTCAGGTCGCTTGCCATGTTGCTAAAATGTACAATATTTTCGTTAAGACGCCTTGATGCGCGCGGGGCCTATAAAACGCGGGGCCGGGTGCAACCGCACCCTTTGCACATGCCTCACGCCAGCACTGTACATATTACAAAATTATAATGTTTAACCTATTGTAACCTATAATCGTTACCGTCAAGAAAATTGTATTGGTCAATCCTGTTTTTATTAAAGGACATTATATTTCACACAAGCGGCATCTACAAAGTCGGCACCGCCTTGCGGCTTTGTATTTGGCTTTGGCGGCGTTTGACTCTTTTTACGCACCGTAATCTTCGGCGATTTTTCTAGATTATTATTTAGTTGAAGCTTATCTAAGCTAAGTAAAACTAGTGTAAATAAATAGGAATTAATTTATTTTTTTTATCGTCTCCACCCCTCCCCCCCAAAGTGTGCCTCGGTACGGCCCTGAGTGTACGGTAAAATTATAAATCTGCTGCATATGACAATGGAAAGGAAGAAAGCAAAAGTAATGACAAAAGAAGAAGAATCAAAGGACTTTAAATATAATAAGGCAAGGCGATTCACTTTTGGCAACGTTGTTTATTTTAGCAATAGAAGATATCATGCGATCGACAGGCATAAAAGGGTTAATAATTCAGAAATCTGTATAAATAATTGCGTATGGAGATGACAGCATTAATATCAAGGGGCTATAATGCACTAAAAGAGACCACGATTACAATATAAAACTAATCAAAGAAAAGGGGAATGACGATAAACCAAGAAAAAACAAAGCAAGCTAAAGGTGTGCAATAAAGATAATAGAACTAAACAAGTAGTAGTCGAAATGGGAAATAACAGGTAGGAAGTGTTGACTAGCTTTAAATATCCTTGAATAATAATAAATGACAAAAACGACATGGGAACTCGGACATGCTACACATACAGCCAGTATATAAAAATTAACAATATAAGTAAAACAACAAAGACAATGACTATGAGAAGCAAAGAAGAAGTGAAATTAAGATGATTTAAAAAGATAATTATGAGATTCAAGAAGACTAATGAGCAAAGACCGGATTTTAAGCCCTTAAACATTGGAAATTAAGACACATAAATAAGCAATAAAACCTACATTTTAGGCCGCATAAAATAGGCGATATGAAATAAAAACAACACGATTAACCATCAATAAAAATAAAACAAAAAATACATATGTATCTCTTAATATAAAATACATAATAAAAATAATAACACAAACTCTTGCAAACAATTGCCCGTATGAATAAAGAAAAGGAAAATCTTACTTGTAAAATTTAAAGCAAAAATTGTGATAGATCGACCCCATGCAATCTATAGATACCTACGACATTTATAATTCTATTGCTAAAATTTATTTTAGTATTAATAATTTTACATTCATTAATTGTTTCTATTGAGTATGTATAATCTAGATTATTTTTAAGAAACATAATAACCCCGTCATTCTGATTCAACGTACCTTCACTATATATAATATTATATCCATCCAGTTTGACAGAATTAACATCTACTTTCCACGTTTCCGATAAAATTATGCAATCGAATTGATTCAAAAACTGCTCCAAGAATATCTCAAGTTCGGGCAAATTTTTTCTAACACTCCTTATGTTCAATTGTAGAACCTTAAAATTTAAAATATTAGAATTTACTTGAAAAACTTCATTACACTCGTGGGTACATACGTGTGTAAGGCATCACATGACTTAAAATCATTCAGAAAAGAATCCATTGTATGTATAAATAAATGAATATATAAATATAATTTATAACCTCCTCTTAAAAATTAATTAGGACAACAAATAATAAGAATACAAATAATAACAAAAAAAATATTATATGTATAAATAAATAAATATATAAATATAATTTAAAACCTCCTCTTAAAACTTAATTACGACAACAAATAATAAGAATATAAATAATAATAAATTAACTACCTAGCTAACTCATCAAAAGTTTAGCCTAAAATATTTACTTAAAAATATAAAAAGAAAATACATGAAACAAAGTTTGCACTATAATGTTAAAACCCTGTTAATAGAAAATATAAATATTAAATACGAACTACATACAAAAACAACTAAATAAAGTTTAAAAATGTATATGAATACAATAGTGACAATTTTTCCTTATTTATTTTTATTTGTCGCGGCTGCGGTTGTGGCCCGAGTTGCTTTGCTTGCCGTTTCTGCCTTCTCATCCGTAGGTAGTTTAGAGGTGGACGTTAGTTTTGGTCTTTTAATTTCTTGTCTTGGTACTGCTTCCCATTCCTCTTCAGATAATATGTTTAGCTCTTCGATCAATCTTTTTTGACGGTCTTGAGGATTTGGAGTAGACGGAACACTAGATGATCTGCGTTCTTCCAAACTTATATTAAATTTTTCGAGATCCTTAACAGTATATACGTCTTCGCCAATAATTAGTTTGTCACCTTTAATTTTTGCACTTAAGCCTTTTGATAAAGCTTCCTTTTTGTGTTTATGAAGTATTTTGTTTGCCGCTAAGTCTTCTTTACAGAGGTCTGGGTTTATATAAATTGATTTTCCCTTAAGTCTGTGAGCGTTTTGAAGAATTTCCGCTTTTTTTGGTAAGATATAACTTCTAATAGTATCGGGGTATTTGGATTGTTCTTGGGCCCCAACTTGTAGACGTCGTTAATATCTGCTTCCACAATAGTGACTTTTAGATTTGTGCCACAAAAATTAATTATTTGTTTAGTTAGGTTATCACCTTCTGTTTTAAGTCCAAATATTACTATGTTATTTTTTCTTAGTTTTCTTTGAAGTTGTAGATTTGTTTTGTATAGTTCGGTGTTTTAATTTTCTAAATCTGATATTCTTTTTTCAAAGCCTTTCAAAGTTGATTCTAGTTCAGTTCTTACACCTCACTCTTATTTATTATGTTAATGTTCAGCTTGGAAATAATATCAGTTATGAAAGCCTTTTGAGATTCACTAAAATCTCCCATTTTTATCTATACTTAATTTTTATGATACCTTTGGTGCGTGTGTAAATTCCTTTATATTCAAGTCGTTTTTCAATAATTGATTGTTTACCGGTATATGTGGCAAATTTTTTCTTTATTATTCTGATATTTGGTCACTTTTGTTTACAATTTTTAGTGATTAGTATTTATGAATATATATATATATATATATATATATATATATATATATATATAAATATATATATATTGGAATAAACAGGCGACGCTGAACAACAAATATAAACAAATACAAACAAAAGCACGATAAGTTGATTCCAACGGTTGTCAAAGTTAGCTTTAGCCATCTATTGTCTTTATAAAAAAACTATTTACCAACTGTAAATTGTGGAGAGTTATTTAATTATGACTTAGATGGCGACAAATTATATTACTAAAAATTGTTAAAAAGTCTGAAATTACCATATACATACAGTGTGACCCATTTGTTTGCGACTCACCCTTGTAAAATATTTATTTATTGTGTAGATCTTGTGTAGATCTTGATAAACTGTATTTTTGGAGCAAGAAACGCCATATTAGTACGCCTACTATGTCAGTTTTTAAGAGTAAAGTTTTAAGAATTCATATTAGCGATTTTTTTAAACAAAATCTAAGCACGGCACTGGATTCATCACCCCTTAAAATTAAATTTTATTGAAAAATTTTAATTATAAAGTGCACAATAATAACTACAAAAATTTATTTTGTCAAGTTAAGTTTAGGATTAATTTCAAGGTCCCAAACAAATGCCTAAAATAGAAACAAAAAGGCATTTTGCCTAAAATCCGGTCCTTGCTAATGAGATATGAAATAAATAAAAAATAATGAAAATATAGTTAGGGTAATCAAGGCGCAGAGACTCAAAACACGTGTACAGGAAAAAAAAGTTACAGAGTAAACAACCGTAGAGGATAGATCGAAAGTGAGGCCAAAAATAAGATGGAAAGATCAAGTACATAATGATCTATAAATATTAAAAGAAAGCAGATAAAGAGAGAAAATCAGAAATAGAGAGACATGGGCATACAGGAAACTGTAAGACGAAAATAGCGAATATGGACCTCCACCATATAAAAGGATTCTTTGTGCTCTAAAAGAGTAGCTACAACTCCATAAGGAGTGCTAAACTATAGTTTGGACATTTTAAAATCTGTTCGCGGTGATTATTATTAGCTTGAAACAAAACAGCGTTCGTGGTGAATAATAATTGACGAAATTTACAATGTTCAGGACGTTTGGCTGCAAAATGTAAAACAAGAATTCAAAAATCGTTAAAGGCGAATATTGCGAATACTTAATTTTAGTACTTTTAGTAATTGTTTTATGTTTTAATATTCTTTAAATAAAGGTATTTTTGAATTCTAAGCCATTTTGCTTAAAAATATTCTCATGTAACATACTGATTTTAATACACTATTGTAATTGGCAATGTAACATAACATTTAAAATAAACTACAAAACAACTTGTATGAAAATTATTTTTTAATATTTTTGATATTTCAAAAGTTACACTCATTATTTCAAACTAGACTTTTGTGACTTTTTAGAGTTGTATATAAAGCTCTAAAAGCCATATTATGAAGTATTTTTTGTAAAATCATTAATTTGGCAAAATTAAAACATAAAAACAATTGTAACGGTGAGGAGAGTGTACACGTCCTCTCCGTTACCATGGTTATATTGATATACCCTGGTTGAAATTGTATGTTGAAAAAAAATGTTTTCTAACGTTAGCAAAAACGATATTTTTTTGTATAATTTTATGTTTAAATATTTAGGTTTCTAACGTTAGCATGCTAACCAGTGGCGCGCATACAATGAAAAACCAAATGCATTGCATACTCTGAGGTCCGACCGCATTCTGCTACATTAAAAAGCACTCCATAACAAATTAAAGGCATGTATTTAAATCGTTAATACTGGATTTACCATGCAACTAAAATTAAAGATAGAGCCTAAAAATTTGTTTATATTAGGCAAATGCAAGATCTTAAGAAGGAGAAAAAAATTTGAAAAAAAATAAGCACTGATAATTTGGGATTTGACTATGATAATAAAATTTAAGAAAATGTAAAAAAGAAGACATCATTAAATTTACCTGGTTCAAAAATGAAGCGCTATTTGTTAGAAAGACTAAAGGCAAACACAAATTATATAAACTGAAGATCAATAACTAAACTACTAAATAAGTCGCAAACAAAATTCAAATTAAAATATACTCTCTTAATATAAGAACCATAAACAACAAAATAGAGGAAATAATAATCATAAATGTAATAGAAGTATTAATTCTAACAGAAATATATCTTTATAAAAATCAAATACAATATTATAATTTAAAAAATTATAAAGCAGTACATTCATGTAGGGAAACTAGGGAAAGATAAACCGCAATCTACTTTAAAAGTAAATAAAATACAGTGTAACTAAAGACAGACATTACGAGTGTTTACTTAAAAGAATAAAAACTTTTTATTTTTGCTGTGTTAACCCCCGTCATTTAGTTCCGTTCGATTTTCTGAAGTATTGAAAAACGAGCGTTGGTGTTTGGCGATATGAATGTAAATTTGCTCGACAAAAGAAACAAAACAGTGATGGACCACATTAACTGGATTTAAGATCATCAATGAAGAGAGTAAAACTAGAATTATGGGCCACACAAGAGCCATTATGAATCATGTTTTATCGAATTATAATATTGTAACGTTTTTGTAGTTCGACAGTGTGAATAAAAAACGCACTGGTTTATTTAAGAACTAAACGATTTATTTTTATAAATTATTTACAATAAAAAAAATATTAACTACTTATTATTTATATATTACTTCGTACAAAAGTCTATTTATTTTAACGTATATTTAATTTATTTCGTCGCGAGCACCAAAGCTTAACTGCGTCCTCGACCATACGATTGGTTTTATATATCCAGGGCGTACGTGACCTACTTCGCGCAAGCACCTTACCGAACCTTTCAGTACGTAAACAAGTGATGACTCATCGCTGATATTCCGAACTTAAGAGCGGTCTCCCTACATTGTCCCCGTCTTAAGATACTTTTGTCCCAAAAAGTCCGATGTGACATACTCCTATAGAAGTAGCAGTCCACGGTCTTCATTCCGATTATTCTTCTAGAGTTGTGGCAACAGACAAGAATGTGTATGCCACTAAATCTTAAGATAAATTTAAGCATTTAAGATACTTTCGTCCCAAAAAGTCCGATGTGACATGCTCCTATAGAAGTAGCAGTCCACGGTCTTCATTCCGATTGTTCTTCTAGAGTTGTGGCAACAGACAAGAATGTGTATGCCACTAAATCTTAAGATAAATTCAAGCATACTTCTAATTATTCTCCAGGCTAAACCGTCAAGTCCTCAAGCAAGCTTCGGTATCGCCAGGTTTATGATGTCCTTGGACAAAAGTTTATCCCTTAAATTTTTTAAGGCATTTCATACGTTACGGTATTTTGGCTTATAATGAAAGAGCTGCTTCGTTACCAGATAGAAAATGCTTCTGTTGTCATCTGTTCGTTATCCACTATTTCAAGCACCTCTCTAAATTTGGGATTCTGTTCAGTTTGTCGACTTGTACAAACCTTTTTTTAAAAGGCGACCGCTATCCCCCTGGACATCCCAAGATCTTTTACAACACACTGGGCCAAGGAGTAATTGGCCGAAACCTTGAACAGATTTTGTTGTTCTTCTTGAGTGAAACCATAATTTTTTACCGCTCGAATATGGATACATAAAGTCTTCAAAAGGTAACTCGTTTTCCGGCGGATTAATTCTTCTTACTCTAGCATAGTCTATTTGGTTATCAGTAGGTATGGCGCCGGTTGAGACCACCGCCTATCGGTCCGACCCTGGAAAATTTGAGGCCCAAAAACGCTTAGAATTTTAGGGGGCCCCTTCGAATTTTAGGGTGCCCCTTCGAATTTTAGGGTGCCCCGGGGGCCCTCAGTCCTTCGGACGGACCACACGGACTGCGCTGGAAATCATGGAATTTTAGGAGAGGCCTATCTAAAATTCAAATAATAAATATCGGTCGTCTGAATAATAGATACCCAGTGACCACACAATAGATGTTTTATCGCCGCTATCTATTAGAGCTCCAATGTTTTGGGACCTGGATAATTATTTAAACCACGAGCTGACCCTGATACTTTTTAGTGTGACATAATGTTGCGTAACATTGCATCATTTTATTGTATCGCCGCTATCTATTAGATCTCCAATGCTACCAACTGTTTTGGGGGCGCATTTAAACATAATAATAATTATTTAAAACATTAGACTTAAAAATAACAACGCTGTAATCATCACCACAAGATGATGACTCATCGCAAAAGGTATTATCAACTTTTAAAACAAATCTGTCTAAATATAATTATAATAAATTAAAACAAATGCGTTTTTATTGCAATTAAAATTAAAAGCTCAAAAATCAGGGTCAAATTGTTGTATTATCACACTGAACCTAATGTTGTCAGAAAATAAATATAACAAATATGATTATTTTAAGTAGGTTTGTAGATAAATAATGTCTTGCAATAAAAAACAAATTGATTTTCAATTTATAATAACTTATAATGTGTGAAATATAATTTACTTTTAATTGTATTTTTATCGCTTTTGCGGTTAATGCATTGAATGACGAACAATTTTAACACAGCGAGATAGGAACACCATGGGGCCTTTTTGAATTTTAAAAAAACTTGAAATACTTTAGACAGGAGAGCACGAATATTGTTTCCAGCGTAAGGAGACAATCGGTTAAAATCGATTGTTTCCTGATCCTGTAGGTGTTATTTATGCAATCCATAACTTCGTATGGTCCTTCTTAAGAAGTCTGCAGCTTTGGCGAATAACTCCGACAACCCTGACTGTTGTAATTTGCCATTTATTAAAACTACTGAATGATTGACTAGAGATTTATTATAGGTCTACCCATTTACACAGACCAACTCGAATTGACGCGAGCCTCCAAAGCCCGTTACAATAATTATTATCGGCGCATGTGCCGTACATTACATTCTCCCACACTTAGATAAAAACAATTATTTTGAAAGTAAGTATGCACAATATTAATCTATATTACATGATTTTTGATTATAACACTGAATGTACGCTTATTCAATTACATTTTTATAATATTTACTAACTTAAACCTATTTCTTTCAGCATATATTCATTATAATAATCGTTGTTGCATTTGTAAAGAAATAAATATAGCATGTATTTTACAATAAACTTAAATAACATTTTTAACAATAAAACATTTTAAACACATACATTTCTGTATTTTCTTTGTGAAACCTAAGTAATATAATCCCTCTTATTCTAATTCATAGTCTCTAAATTTACTAGGAACTTTCCTAATTCTTTTATTAACATTTTCATTTCGCATGTGCGATTTTGGTGAATGTAAAGTTTTATTCACAACAGGTTGAGAAGTTATATTTGTGATTACATTATTTTCATTATTATAACTATCTAAATTTAAAGAACTAGGTTCGAGAACATTTTCATCATTAGAAATATCTAAATTTAAAGAACTAGGTTCGAGAACATTTTCATTATTAGAGGTAGGCAAATTTGAATCATTGCGATTTTCATTGTTTTCAACATTGGAGGACGGTTCAGGATCTATAAATACGTAAGATAAATCTGAATCATGATTCAGATTTATCTTACGTATTTATAGATCCTGAACCGTCCTCCAATGTTGAAAACAATGAAAATCGCAATGATTCAAATTTGATGATCATCTTCCGCATTCTGCAATTGGGGAGTTTTATCCTCCATACGCGAGTTTATTTGATTAGCGTGTCTTTTATGAATAAAGCCCTTGATAGATTTGCACTCATAAGTTGAATTCTGTGAAACCTAATTTTTTTTTATATTCTTGTTAATTAGGTCATAACTAAAATTTTAAGAGCAAAATAAAAAAAATTTGACGGTTTGAATTGTTTTAATTGGCTGTTTATTAAAAATATTATGCACTCTTTCAATTATCTAATTAAAACTAGCGATTTAATTTAAATATTTAATATTTGCATGACTAAAAAAAAGGTTTTTACAATTTTTTTTATATATTTTACTGTTTTGTTGCAATAAACGTTTAAACTTTTAATCTAACCTTTGACGTATACATTTATGTTCCCTTAATTAATATATCCTTAAAGGTTGCCATAAAACTTAGATCTATTAAAAATGTATTTGACGTTTAAACTGTAATTTTCAGTATACGTATTCTATCATTTTTGTTTAGTTTTTTATAAACAAAAATGAAAAATTGTAGTGAAAGTTACGAAGAAATTCATGAAATTTAACTAAGGACCGGTTTATTCATCTTTAGTAAAGTTTATCGGGCCGATAACTTTCATGTTTTGGCAATATCTAGTATTCAAAGAAATTTTTCGTCAAATAAATGAAAAATGAATAAATCGGCCCTAAATAAAATGTGGCACCCTTAGAATTATTGTTTAATAAATGTATACTATACATTTAATCTTAAATTAAAACTTTAAACGTGTATTACAACAAAACAGTAAAAGATATAAAAAATGTATAGACCTTTTTTAGGAAATTAACTAATCTTTAATCTGATTTAGTTATGTGAATATTTAAATAAAATCGCAAGTTTTAATTGGAGAATTGAAAGTGTGCATACATATAAACATCCAATTAAAACAAAATTAACCGTCAAATTTTTTTTATTTTGCTCTTAAAATTTTAGTTATGACCTAATTAACAAGAATATATAAAAAAATTTGTTTTCACAGAAAGTCCAAAAATCACCTCTCAGAACAGCACCGTGTATACCCTTCTCCCATGATTTGCAGTTCGCATTTAGGTATTTTCTAAACATTATTGATTCTCCCTGTTTAAACACTCTCTCTTTAGTTATGAGAATATTTAAATAAAATCGCAAGTTTTAATTGGAGAATTGAAAGTGTGCATACATATAAACATCCAATTAAAACAAAATTAACCGTCAATTTTTTTTTATTTTGCTCTTAAAATTTTAGTTATGACCTAATTAACAAGAATATATAAAAAAATTAGTTTTCACAGAAAGTCCAAAAATCACCTCTCAGAACAGCACCGTGTACACCCTTCTCCCATGATTTGCAGTTCGCTTTTGGGTATTTTCTAAACATTATTGATTCTCCCTGTTTAAACACTCTCTCTTTCCCTCCAAAATTCTTAATTTGTCTTTCTCTTACTATTTTAAACCTTTCCTCAACTTCGCTGTTACCTTCTGGTAATTCCTTTGAATTTTCATGTAATAAACTTAGTCTATTTCTTAGAGTTCTGCCAAACATTAAGCTTGCTGGCGATTTTCCAATAGATACCTTGATATTACAGTTGCTATTGGTTTGTCCTTGTTTCTAGGATCCATTAATCCTGAAATTACTTTACTTTTAAAGATTTTTACACCATTCTCTGCTAAACCGTTGCTTCTGGGATTATAAGGAGATGTAATGAATTTTATTCCATTAAACTCATAAAATTTTCTTAATTCTTTTGATGTTAAATTTGGAGCATTATCACTAACTATGGTTTTTGGTAAACCGAAACGTGCAAAAGTGTAGCGTAACTTTTCTTCAATTTTAACACTTTTCATATTTTTAAGCATAAATACTTCTGGCCACTTTGAGAATGAGTATATTATAATTAGAAACATTTTACCTTGAATGTGTCCCAATATATCAATATGGATTCTGTCAAAAACATGTTTTCCCGTCGGCCAAGGAGTTAATTTTGCTCTGGGAGGGTCAGGTTTGTTAAATAAGCATGGCTCACAAGATTTTAGCATGATTTCAATGTCTTCATCAATCCTAGGCCAATATACATAGGATCTTGCTATGTTTTTAGTCCTGACAATGCGAAAATGTCCTGAATGCAGTTCTTTTAGGATTTGTTTTCTAAGGTTCTTCGGAACTCCAAATTCTATGTCCATATAATAGTATATCGTTCTCTATGGTAAGGTCTGCACGTATATTATAAAGTGTTTTCAATTCTTCTGTTAGTTGAGAAGGCCACCTTTCATTTTCGCAATATTTCAACACTTTGCTGATTACTGGATGTTTTCTACTTTCAAGTCTTATTTGTTTGTTGTTGATGGACCAGCTGTTTAGTTGCTCTGTAAAGTTGATATATGTTGGTTCCTCTTGTCCTTGGTGTTGCATTTGGACTGGAGATCTTGAGAAAAAATCAGCTCTTTGTAATCTATTTGATTTTATGTGGAATTGCTTTGTTTTCTCCAAATAATGAAACTAAGGGTTTGTGATCAGTTCTAAGGGTAAATTTTACACCATATAGATAATTTTTTCTTGCCCATCTTTTAAAACTGATAAAATACCTGAGATACCAACTTGAGAAGTATCACAAGTTAAAAACACAGGTAATGCGGCATCAAAATGAGACAAATGATTATCTTTAGACATAAGCTGTTTGATTTTGTTGAAAGAAATATCACATTCTTTTGACCAGTAAAATTTATTATCCTTTTTTTAGTAACTTATGGATTGGATTTAAAATACTTACAATATTAGGTATAAACTTGCTGTAATAATTGACCATTCCAATAAAAGATCTTACTTCATTTAAAGTTTTAGGAGGATTAAACTTTATTATTGCTATAACCTTATCTTCTGATTTTTTAAGTCCATTTTTGAGATTATAGTCCCAAAAATTCCACTTCTTTTTGAAAAAATTTGCATTTATTTTGCCTCTTGCAACCTTTTGCAAACTATTTCCAGATTTTTCATGTGATCTTCTTTGTTTCTTCCTGTTATGCAGATGTCGTCAACAAATGCTACAACACAATCCAAATCTTTAAGAAGATTGTCCATGATTCTTTGAAAAATGCTTGTTGCTGGAGTAATTCCAAATGGCATTCTGGTCATTTTGAACAATCCTTTATGAGTGTTCCAAGTTAGTAGTTTACTTGTCTCTTCATCAACTGGTATTTGGTTGTATGCTTGTCTTAAATCCAATTTAGTAAATTCTTCCCCTTTAATCAGCTTGTCAAAGATTTCTTCCACCCTTGGCAACGGATACTTTATTTCCTCCAAGTATCTATTTACACTTACTTTGTAATCCCCACAAATTCTTATACTATTAGGATCACACTTTTTAATAACAGGTACCAGGGGTGAAGCCCATTCACTACTTTCCACTGGTACTAAGATACCTTCACTCACCAAATCACTCAAGGAACTTTCTATTTTATCTTTAAAAGCTAATGGAATATTTTTATGTTTGCAGAATACGGGTACATGTTCTGATTTTATTTTTAAAGATACTTTATCATGTGTATATTTTTCCAATTTATCATTAAAAACTAAAGAATATTTGTTTATAAGACTTGTTAACTCATTTGTTAAAGAGATTTCATTAACAATACTTATTTTGACCTTGAATTCTTCAATCCATGGTCTTCCTAGAATGTTTGGCCCTCCACTGTTGACAACATAAAACCTCACAAACCTTGATGTGCCTTGGAAATTCACTCTCGTTAATATAAAACCTCTGGGTGAAAATGCCTGACCACCATATCCTTTTAAAATTGTCGAGTCTTGAGTTAATCTAAAATTGGAAAAATATTTAGTATAAGTTTCATTATTAATTGCATTTACTGCAGCACCACTATCAATTAACATTTTGAATGGTTTATTTAATATATGAACTGTTATAATAAAAGGATTATTTAAGCTAACGTTAAATTTCTGCTTCTTATTGTTAAAAAAATACATATCATCCACCTCTGGTGAATCGTCAATGAAATTTAGATTGTTTTTAAACTTACATATTTTAGCTAAATGCCCCTTTCTTTTACAAATATTACATAAATATTGTCTGAACTTGCACAAACCAACATGCATTTTGTCACAATGTTTGCAAGAGTGATCATTTTTAACATATGAATTACTATTTTTAAAATATGGGATATATTTACTTCCCTTGTCAACTGTTTTCGACTGGTGACCTTGATACCTCGAGTTTCTTGGCTGGCTTCGGTTTTCTTTCGGTAGATGGCGCTCCCTGTTCTTGTTCAAATTTAAAATCTCCGGATTTTCTTGGTTTACGATTTCACACTTCAAGGCCAACTCGAACATTTTTTTAAGCTCCGTTTTTCATCCTCTTCAAATAACCTTCGGGTAATTTTGCACTTTTTTAATCCAGTAACGAAATTGTCTTTCAAAATTTCTTCCAAATTTGTACCAAATTTGTATAAATTCTGCCAACTTGCTGAAGTAGGCCATCACAACGATGTATGTATATCCAGATTTTGTTTCTGGAAATGGACCCCTTACGTCGATTGCAATTCTGTAAAATGGGCTGCCCACGTTGTACTGTCAGGGTGGGTGGTGCATTGCTTTCCGCGAAAATGGCGCACTCATGCACCATTCCTTCACATTTCGTTGGCATTTAACCCAATAAAACCGTTTCCCAAGTCTTCCGATCGTCCTCGTCACCCCAAGATGTCCTCCCTCCTCCTCCCTCCTGTTTCAGTATGAATTTCCTGCAGCACCTCTGGTATCCTATTATGTATAATATGCTTTCGGTAATCCCCTTCTTCTGGAGTCTCCAGAATACGCTTCAGAAGAAGAACCTAAGATGATGGAGTTCCACTG